GATATAGACATTCACGAATATTTCAAGTACATAGTTATCAATGGTTATTTGTTTTTTAATTGTAAAWAAAAAATAGTTCCATGAGAAATTTATGGATGATTTATGTCATGAAACTTTGAACTTAAAACGCTTAAAAAAAAGGAATTTAAATTCCTGGTAAACTTCTTTTTTTTTTGTTAAAAAAAGAATAACATATAAGGAATTAGAAATTAAATTTAAATACGAAGTAATATGATATATGATGCATGGACAAGAGAGACCCTACGGACCACTATTTCACCATTGATCAATACAAATGGTTTAGCGCTGACAAAATTACGGGCAAGGATTCTCATAATAGCTTGCAGAATTTTTACAATACAACTATAACTATGATCTATCGTCTTTTAACACGTTTATGGCACTTCGTCTATTTATTTTTCTACAAATCCAGCCAAAAAAGTCACTTTTCATTACTGCTATAGCAGAAGTGCCCCTGTACATCATACTGTGTGAATTACGTTATGAGCAATGACAATTTTGTAGATCAGCTGTTTATATTATTAAAATTGCAAGTTTATTTATGCTTGAAATTGTTTGTCTATATAGTATAACTATCATTGTAATTTCGACATTACGCAACATTGAACTTTTAATTAGTATTTAAAAAAATAAAATAATTTTATTTTTAGTTACTCTCAAAATGTCTACTAATCCACTTAAATAACAGGTGAGTGGTGTTCAGTGAACTTCTATCCAAGTTAGCTGACCTGATGTGTATATTGACTGGCAGCTTCGTATTTCGGTTTGTTTGGACGCTTCAAATTTCAATACTTTRTTTATCTAGGTAATGCACTTTTAAAATCTTAAAAATGTTTGTTCTATTAATTTTAATATTATAATATATTACATAAACATAATAATACTAAATATGATAAATTGTTATCTCTAATCAGGAGTTTCTTAATACAACATTTAGACTATATTATATACTTTTGTTGTTTAATGTTTTTCTTCATATGGCACGTATAATATGCGCGAATTGTAGGTAATTGGTTACTAAAATGGTTTTTCAGTTAAAACGTCTAGCTTAATAATGAATAATATT